ACAGACCTTGGGCCATGATGTGGTGACACACAGTACCCGCGTCATCTCTTTGTTCGTACCGCGCGCCTGGGCGTTTGCTGCATACCAAGGCACCGCGGGATCGCATCTGCTGGTGGGTTGTTTTCACAACGCATCTTTTGTCGACTACTGTGTAGGTGCATACAAAGAGCAGCACGTGACGTTAGTCTGCCTGCACCCCACCACGCGCTATGAAGGAAGGTCCTGCAAGGCATAGGAAGCATGGCCAGTCCAACGCTCACGGCAGTCGATATGCGCGCACAGCCCAAGACGGGCGGCACGGGCATCTTACTTGACGCTTTCTTTGGCCAGGATGGCAGCAGAATCTCCGAAGTAACATGGCATTGTCCATTCGCCTGCGTCATGCGCCCCGGCCAGGTTGAAATCCTACGCGAAAGCTCACAACACACGGCCTGCGACGTGCACGCTCACCTCAGAAGGTTAAAGGGACCTCTGCTGGTACGGCCAATCATCCAGACAAAGGCTGGTGGGCGTGGGGCATGTTTACACAAGGTAGGCTGGCGGCGAGCTCGGCGTGCCAGCCGTTTGTTCTAGCGGCAGAGGGCGATCTGCAGTCGGGTGGCGGGGGGTGATCATGTTCCCCAAGCCCCCAGCAAGCCAGCAGTCAGCTCCTCGCCATGCCAGGACTGCCATGTCTCAGATATCAGAGGATGCGGAGAAGGAGTGTGGCATTGCAGGGACACTACCAGTAGCGTGCTATCCGACATGACGAGCAACGATAGGGTTGCAGCACCAGGACAGCCACCAGGCACGCGGTACGGCGCGAAAGGGGGGCGAGTATGCGTGTGGGTTGCAGTCGAGAGGCTTGGGTGTGGGTTACGCTATGCAGCAAGGCTGAGTGACCGACTGGCTAGCACGGATTCAGGGGGGGGCGCTCCCGATGGCGCTTCATGCACGCTGTGATCTGTGTCGACCTTGACAGTCGAGGTGAATGGACTGGCATGACTAGCCTAATACCCCAGCTGGGCGCCGTGAAAGGTTGGCCTTAGTCAATGCTGCAGACATTGAAATAGGGCCCCTTCCTCTCCACCTCTCCACCGTCGCAGTATATAACAATCCCGCGGCTGTGCACATTCATTCCTTTTTTTTTTTTTTAGCTTGTTACATACTCGTCGACGAAGTGCCTGGATTCCTGACCTCACTTTGTTGCTGTGTGTACTTGGTCCTTCAGCGTAGTCCCTTTTTCTTCGTCGGTACATCGTCGACAACAACAACAACAATGCGCGACCTCACCTTGGCCTCAGTTCTGACGGCCTCAGCCCTGCTCGCCCGACGAACTGGAGCCGTTGCTGTCAACCCTCTCCCCAAGCCTGCCAGCATTACCTGGGGCGACTCAGGATGCTTTGCCGTCGGATCAATCACTCTGGATGGCCCCGACAACAAGGTGCTTTCTGATGCATTCAGCCGGATGACAAAGACCGTCACCGACCTCAAGTGGATTCCTGCGGGTATCGAGGCCCCAGTCAGGGAGTTTGAACCTTTCCCCAAGAGTGGGTCCAAGAAGAAAAAGAGGAGGAGGAATACTCCTACTGTCTCTGCTGGAAACTGCACCGGCACTATTAGCACAGTCAAGGTCGACATTGCCGACACCAATGCTCAGCTCCAACATGGCGTCGACGAGTCGTACAAGCTTGAGCTTGCCGCTGGATCAAGCAGCGTTCACATCACTGCTGGCACTGTCTACGGTGCTCTTCACGCCCTGACCACCATGCAGCAAATCGTCATCAACGACGGCTCAGGCAAGTTGATCATCGAGCAGCCCGTCTCCATTGACGACAAGCCTCTCTATCCTGTCCGCGGTATCATGATTGACTCTGGCCGCAACTACATCTCCAAGGCCAAGATCCTCGAGCAGATTGACGGAATGGCGCTTTCCAAGCTCAACGTCCTTCACTGGCACATGGTCGACACGCAGTCATGGCCCGTTGAGATCAAAGCCTACCCGGACATGACAAAGGACGCCTACTCGGCCAACGAGGTCTACTCTCAATCCGTTCTCAAGGAAATCATCGAGTACGCCGGTGCGCGTGGCGTGCGCGTCATCCCGGAAATCGACATGCCGGGCCACGCCAGCTCTGGCTGGGAGGAAATCGACAAGGAAATCCTAACCTGCGAAGACAGCTGGTGGTCCAACGACGACTGGCCACTCCACACGGCCGTGCAGCCTAACCCGGGTCAGCTCGACATTCTCAACAACAAGACATACGAAGTCACCGGCAAGGTGTACAAGGAACTCGCCACCATCTTCCCCGACAACTGGTTCCACATTGGCGGCGACGAGCTCTTCATGAACTGCAACAACTTCTCCGCTCTCGCCCGCGACTTCTTCGCCACGGGCAAGACAATGGGCGACCTCTACCAAGTCTGGGTCGACCGCGCAATCCCCAACTTCCGCTCCCAAGCCAACAAGACGTTTGTCATGTGGGAAGACGTCAAGATCTCAGCCGACGTCGCCGCCACAGGCAACGTGCCCAAGGACATTGTCCTCCAGGCCTGGAACAACGGCCTCGACCACATCTCCAACCTCACCTCGCAGGGCTACCGCGTCATCGTCTCGAGCTCCGACTTCATGTACCTCGACTGCGGCTACGGCGGCTACGTCAGCAACGATCCCCGCTACAACGTCATGGTCAACCCCAACGCCGCCGACGGCGCCGCAAACTTCAACTGGGGCGGCAACGGCGGCTCCTGGTGCGCCCCCTACAAGACCTGGCAGCGCATCTACGACTACGACTTCACCCAGGGCCTCTCCGCCACCCAGAAATCCCTCGTCCAGGGCGCCATTGCGCCCCTCTTTGGCGAACAGGTCGATTCCCTCGTCATCTCCCAGAAAATCTGGCCCCGTGCTGCCGCCCTCGCTGAGCTCGTCTGGTCCGGCAACAGGGATCAAGACGGCAAGAAGAGAACTACCGAATTGACTCAGCGTATCCTCAACTTTAGAGAGTACCTCGTCGCCAATGGCGTCCAGGCTACCATTCTCATGCCAAAGTATTGTATGCAGAATCCTCATACTTGCGATTTGTATCTCAATCAGACCGTTATTTCCTAAGACTGATCATGGTTTCTTTTGGGGAGCGAGGCGGGGGGGGGGNACAAGTGCGAGATATATATGTGGGGGGGGGTATTATAAACATTTTTGATCTGATGTGTGAACTTTTATGCTGAGTTTGGGAAACAAAGTTGCTATTATGTGAATGATGGCCCCCTTTTTTTTTATGTATTTATTTTATCTTAACTTATTTACTTTCTGACATGTCTCTTCTCTGCTGAAGTATAGGGTTCATGTTCATGTCCTTTCTCTGTGTTTGTTTGTTCATTCATCATTGCAGAGACGGTGTGTTCCACATGGGGAATTTAATGCCTGTCAGCTGAGAGAGAATGTAATACAAGGTAGCCCTAACCTGAATTAATCTACCAAGACCGCCACAGGAGTTTGAGTAGTTTTGCTTTTCACGACATGTCAGCCCAGAAAATGATACGATTTATTTGCTTCCTGATTGGTACCACGCTATTGAAAAAGAGAAGAAGAAAAAAGAGCCACCATAGTAATCTGCGGCTGAACCCACGTGTACCTGCATCCGCAGAATTATGCATCTTGTCTGTTCTTGTTCAACCCCCCACCACTACTACGGCGACCTCAAGTCCTTGGCCGTAAGCACTTCTTTTGCAGCCTCCATCTCAGGAGACGTAATCTCCCTCTCCCCAAGCTTGTTTGAACTACCTGATGTCGACGACGAAAAAGGTTTCTTCAATACGTTCTTGATCTTTTCGCCTACGGGTTTGTGGTCTGCAGGGCCATCGTTGATCGGATCATGTATCGTGGTCGAGTCGGTAGAGGAGTGAGACGTGACTGGCTCTGCGAATATGCATAAGTGAGTTGTTCAAGGCTGTATTGGAGAGTGACAAAGTCGACGACAGCGCACTGGAGTTGGAGGTCATTGGCAAGGGCCACGAACCTCGAAATTGAGCACTGACATCGGATTGCGATGAAAAGGTGCTGGTGGCTTCAGGAAGGGCTCCAACTGGTGGTTCTACAATATGTTAGCATGTTATGGCCTCATTACCAATCACTTGTGGTTTCTTCTTCTGGCGAGACCCTTGAATACAACAGGGAGGGTGGCATGAAACAGGAAATCATACCTCTGAACTGTGCGCTCTGGTCCGCAGTAGCCATGGTTATTATGATTGGTTAAGAGCAGTCGACCTAGAACAATAGTCTAGATATGTAAACCTGACGTAGCAAACTTGCATTCGTGGTGGGGGGACAGGGTGTGGTAATATACAAACAAGCTGGCGCTACGTCACCGGCTGACTGAGCGTCTGGGCGTTCTCATGGCTGATGCGTGTTGGTATGATGAGATGCTTGGGAGCCAACTTGACTTGAGTGGTTGGCAAACGCATCTCGCCCCGCTTCTCCCGCACAGCAGTGGCCAAGATCCAGATTCTTGAACCCTGAACAACGGCACCGTCTTGAGCCAAGCGCTTGTCAAAGTTGTTCTAGCTCGATCTGGAAAGAGACGCTGAGATCTAGCCTTCTTGACCAACTGGGCATGTCGATCGGAACAAGACCAAGGCTTCATACCAGTCTAGATGATTCGGATGGTATGCAGCCCGTTTTTATAGCGTAGGCACGGCAGGCGAGCCTTTGTCTCTTCGCTCAAATCCGCCAACATCATTTCCACCTCAGCAGGCCTATCAGTTGAGCTCGACCCAATTCTCTCAAATAACGTCTTTTCCTTGTCCACAAGTTTAAGCACAAGGCCATGGACATCTCCCAGTATGATGTCTATTATACAAGGCATAAAGAATAGAAGCTTTTGTGCATTAGCTTCAACCCAGTCAGTGGCCGGCAAAATGTCTGGCAAGAAAGATATCGTTGAAGAGGAATCATCTTCAGTAGTTTCAGGCTGTCGGGTGATAGCTTTGCTACCAAAGGTCATACGGAATACTGTTCGAGGCCTTTCGGTTTTAGACAACCTCACTGGTTTGAGAAACCCGCACAGGTCTAGCCAACCTCCAGTGACTGCACCTGTAGTATCCTCGGTCGCATGGGATAATACAACATCCTCCACGTGTATGAGTAGTTCTCGATCCTCCCAATGCAGATTTGGACGTACATGCCCATCCACTGACGCCCACGACCAAGTTGGTGATCGATAGACTAACGGACGAGGCAATAGGCCCGAAGGATTAACAAACCACAATAGTGAGTCTTCCAACTGACTACGCCACATACCCGCTACATATTTATCTTCAAGACGAGCCATGAAGAATTTGGCTATACCAGAAAGGGCTATCAACTTATCGGTTGAAACAGACAAGTCCATGGCAGAATACTGGGAAACAACGTCACCGTACCAAAGTTTTTTCCATTCATCACCATGTCTATCAGATGATACAGAAGGATCTTGTTGTTTCCCAAGTCTGTACTTTACGGATACAGTCGTAAGATTCATGATGTTGCTGGGGAGACCTTTGGGAAACGTCTCGCAGACGGTGCGCTCGTTGCATTCCAAGAAAATTTGATCACGGAAGAAATGGAGGTTACGCGGGGCCAGGAAGCGTTCTTGAAAAACCCAGCCACGGTTGTGAAGAGGAGCCCTGCCCAGGTTGCGTGACCACAGCATAAGATCCGTCATTAAATAGTCAGTGTAACCTGGTCCTGATCCAAGTTCCTTTGTATTAACTGCAACACGCTGACGGCCTAGAAGTAACGAGGGGTGATGTCGGAAAAGTCCTTTTGTGCCGTCATCTGCATCTGCTGCAGCAATGTTGAGGTAGGAATGCATGTACACCTTACCCATTAGCCCCGCCTCATGATACCAATCGCGAAGATTGTCTCCCTCCTGAATAATGCATAGGGAATCTATCCACAGATATTGAATCCCGAGTCTTTTGGATACTTGGATGGCCTCCTGGAACGTTCTGGGCATCCCAGCAACAAAAAAGCGGTGGTTTGGATCGGACGCCGCCAACCTAGTAAGTCGAAGAGGTCTTGTATTGCCCCAACGGTGACTCAAAGTAGCATAATGTTCATTGGGTGACGTCCCCGCTGTGCGTATGAGTCGTACGTAGCCCTCCTTTCCGTCAGTTTCAGCTAGATGCAAAAGACGCGTTGGGTACCATGATGTGCCGTCTGTGTGGGAATTGCATCGCAGGTGGGATTGAACACAGTCTCGCAGCCACATGGAAGCCAGCTCAAAAGATGCAGTGGAAGAAGTATGGTCAGCAGTGACCTCGCCCTCTGCGTAAGCATCACACTCTGATTCGCCTGCTGCTTGATCAATATATGCAATAAACTTTTGGAGGAGAAACAGACCATGATCCCTTTCTAGCCTGAACGTGCCTATCACGTGTGGACGGTCGGGGAGCCCATCCATGTGAAGCTGGATACTCAAGGTGATCAATTCCAACGTCAACCCAAATCCCAACCACGCAGCAGTGATGAGTTTTGGATGCCGAGCATCACCATTGGTATTTCCATCATTGTTGGATCCAGGACTACGCAATGATTCTCGCTGAAAATCCGACAAGTTGTTCAAAGTAGGTCGGCAAACAATACACCCATTCGCTGCTGACACAACGAGCGATTCCCACGTCAAATGGTGAGCACACTGATTGTAGGATTGTCACTAACCCATATTGGCCATTTGTGATTTGTGATTTGTTGCCCTACCTTGACAAACGGTACAGTTTTGCGGCAAGCGTGCAGCTCACTTTGGCTTATTGCGGAGCTAATGACATGACGACGATGGTGAAGAACGCCGATGCAGGTTTCGCACAACATTTCCGATGGTTTATCCTAGAGAGAAGCTGGTGGGGTTGTCGGAAGAGCAGGCTGTGGCTTTACTATAGCCTCGTCACCCCGCGCTTTGTGCTAGCGAATTGGCAGCAGCCTTGAGCCGCTCCTTCCTCCCCTCCTTCCAGGCCTTGTCGAGCGCCTCCATCTTCCCACCCAGAACCTGAACATTGCCTGGTTCAAGCATAGCCACTCCTCTTCTTACATCAAAGTCCTTCAAAACAAGTTTCGCACCCATGGCCATGTTTGTGTGGAGGCCATCGATGCCTCTTAGATCCATGGCATAAATCTTGAGGGCTTTGGCATCCTGGAGAAGAAGCTTGAACGGGCCTTTACTTTGCGCAGGCGCCGCAGACTCGGTAGCAGCCTCGTTGTCTTGTTCGACTACGCGCACAATTTCTCTTCCTTTGGTCGTCTCGCCCCGCTCTTTTGCTTCGATGGCTTCGACCTGGGACCAGCGTGAGTGTCCAATATCCTCAATGTCGAGCACCTGGCAGACGACAGGACCGGGAACGATGCGAGACTGTGTGTTTCCATTGAGCACATCGCTAGGGAACACTGAGCTGGGCGGCTGACTTAGTGATTTTGTGATATCGGTTGCCAGTAGACGGAAAAGCGATGTCTGCTTTAATGCGGGCAGTGGTGTATTCGGCCGGGTGGTGGATAGAAAACTCTCGAGCCATGCCGCCGTAGGATAGAGATGGCGGGCATTGAGATGCTGTGTTAGTTCGGCTGCAATGTTAGTCGCCATGATTGGAATCGTGTACGTTTGTGAGTTTTATGCAAAAGTCATGTGTGAAACAGTTGTAGTAGTATGTAGCCGACGCGACGCGTAGTAGAATGACGTGGGGCTCTTCTCGGCCCTTGACATGAAGCTCCAACATACACTCTAAACACTCCTCAACCCCCAAATCCTACAGCACATAGAACAACATGTCAACAATAGCCTCTCCCCGCCCCAGCTCGTCCGTCCGCACCCCCTCATTAACCCGCACATCCATCGACAGTAGCTCGTCGCACCGGCCACCCCCGCAGCCCGCTCGCCGCAACCGCGCCGCCCTGCGCGAATTCTATGGCCTCAAACCTGTACCCAAAGACGCAGGGGCTGATGTGAGAATATCCGAGGAAACGACAACGAACCCATTGGGACCCGAGGAAGACGAGACACTGACAGAGCTGGACGCCTCGGATTTCAATGCAGAAGCCTACGTGGAGAGTCTGCTTGCAAGAGAGGGGCTCAAGGGCGTGTTGAAAGTAGAAGCAGACTTGATATCACGTATGCTAGTCCAACACAAGCATAGAGTGGAAGAAAGAACGGATAGCTAACCACGAAAATAGAAATCCGAAATCTGGACAGCGACCGTAAATCTCTAGTCTACGACAACTACTCCAAACTGCTTTCTGCCACCAGCACCATCCGTCGCATGCGCGGCAACATGGATCCTCTTGCGCCTACCACACACACGCTTGGGCCTGCCATATCACATATTGCCGAGACAGCTGCGGCACTGTCGTCGTCGTTGCACGAGAGCCACCAGCCGAAACAAGAAGGATTGGGAATCAGCATGCGGGGAGAACAGGACGGGGCAGATGCAGACAAGAAGCGGAGGCAGAAGGAAACTGTAAAGTGGGTGCTCGACACGCCAAGACGGCTGCAGATACTGGTTGACCAGGAGCGCGAGGAGGAGGCGGAAAAGGAGTGGGAGGAGGTTAGTGCGATACTGGATAAGTGGAAGGGGGTGGCTGGCGTGCAAGAGCTCAGGGAGCAGTGCGAGGCTATCATGCAAGAAGAAGAATGAGATGGGTCCGAGTCTGGAACAAGCACGCGACAGTTCCATGATCCCCATCATCAAGGCACTGTGCAGTGCACAGCCCAGAGAAACGGAGTCGCAGGGAACCATCAAACCCAGCATTTCCAGCCCATCCCGATGATGTAGCCAGCACCACCTGGGGAAACGGCCAAACCAAGGTTGCACAGTATAGCACTTTATGCACAAACTGCATATATCATTCGAAGCCGACTCAACACAAGTGTGGAAATGACGTCTCGGCTCCCAGCAACTAGTCCACTTGGCCCTCCCTTCCACCGCTAGGTGGTAAAGTCAATAAACTTTTGCTCGTTAGTCGTGGGGAAAAGGAGGAATGGAGGGAGGGGGGGGGTTCCCGAAGAACGGTATATCCCGAACCGGAGGCGTTCGCCCAACCAAACTAAAATAAACTTCTTTAGCAAACAAAACCTAAATAGAAAGAAGAAGCAAAAAAACACAACGGAAGTATCGGTAAATCATCAAGGTAAACGAAGAAAAGAAAAGAACAAGAGTAAACTTTGATCTAGTGCGCCTCATAAGAATAAGCCCAAAAGGATATATATTGAATTCAGATAAATTGTATACAAGCGTTGTAAAAAAAAAGATTCTAAAGTTATCGGCGCGTTTCTAGTTTTTGACTGAGCGCTCGTGGTATCAAATGCAATAATAAAGAAAACATGAACGCCCGTCTATCATGCAAAATAAAAAAATAAGTGGTTTGAAAAAAAAAGTGCCAGAGGGCGAGCGGAGTTTACCCCTCATCTTCCAGGCTCCTTCCTTCCTTTCCCCGGGTTCCGGAGGAAATCCCTTTTCTCTCTGCCCATGGGGTTTTCGGTAAACAAAAGGAAAAAAAAAGGAAGAGTAAAGAAAAAAAATAAAGTTGTAGTGCTAGTCGATTCCGAAGGAATTAGCCAAAGTTAAGGAATGTAAGCGCAAGCCTAGTGGCTCGATGAGAAGAAGAAAAAGGGAAGGAGAGATGGAAGTTCCGAACACGGCCACAGAAAGAAAGCGTATGTGTGCTGCGTGTTTTTTTCTTTCTTGCTCTCTTTCTTCGGGAATATCGCTCGTATGACTGACAAGCAAGCAAAAAAAAAAAGCATGACGTCTAAGCAACGCATTTCTGCATGACTTGGCCATGTTCTGCATGGGCATGCACAGAGCGGACGCTGAGTGGTGCAACGTGGCTGCCGGCCGCACGCTCCAATTCCTCTACAGCAGCAGCCTGCTGGTTGAGCAAGTTGAGATACGTCTGCCAGCCGATTGCCACGACACCGCCGAAGATGCTGCGGTATTGAATGGGCACGTAGGTGAAGCTAAAGGCCGTGACAGCGGGCCAGATTTTGCAGCTGTTCCACCAGCTGGTTGGCACCGTGTTGCGGATGCGCTCAATGATTTCGGGAAAAGTGCCGCCGGAGAGTAGGGTTTGCATGCCGAAGAAGTATGAGTTGAATAGTGGGGTGAAGAAGGCTTGGTTGATGAAGACCTGGGGGTGTTGTTAGTTATCGTCGCAAGCGCATGCATTCTGGTACTAGACGGCAACATACTTTGATTGAAAGAGAGAGTGTCTTGGACCGGTAGTTGAAGCTGTTGGACAGCCACAGAAACCACCTGTATGATGGGATGGCGCTCAGTCCTCCAATGCAAAGGGCTCGCATGGTACGGGTCCAGTCACGGTCATCGCTCCATTGCTGCACCCAGCCCTTCTCGTCGGCCTCGTCGGTTGACTCGTGCTGTTGCTGCTGCTGGGCGGAAGGCTCGGGTTGGGTGATGCTTTGGGCTACGCAGTCGCCGATGAAATAGATGATGAGTGAAGACACCAATTGGGTCATGTATGGCCTTCGTTGCTGCACGCGACCGTATGCGCGAAAGGGTTCGACAATGGGATCGAGCCACAGCCAGCTGGGCCCGGGAATGGTTCGCGCAGTGGCAGCGGCGCCCTGGGCTCCTTCTGGACCGGTGCTGTTGTAGCGACGAGAGGTGTTGGACAGGTGAATTCGTAGACGGGCGCGCTCGAAGTTGGATGTGTTTGTCGTGTTGCGAGAAGGGGCATTAGGGATGCGCCTCAGGCCAACGCGGACCCAGGCGCAAGAAGGGGCGACCATAATAGCAGTAGTGGTTGGTGATGGAGAGTGCGTGGTTTTGGGCGGACGGAAGCAAGATGAGCGAGTTATGAGCGAGTGGAAGACATGATGTGCGGTGGCTGCTGGGGGGTGTTATGAGCTGTCAGGTAGGTATGGATGCATGTGTGGGTGTAGGTCTGGATGGACGCATCCCCGAGTGTCGGCGCAACAAATGTTGGGGATGCACGCCGGGGGCGCGCGGATAACCTCGGCTTAGTCACGCGCACGCCATCGCATCCACTCGTGCCCCAGTCGGGCCTAGACTGCTCTCCATCAATCCCTAACACCCGACAACGGCCTCAGCCTCAGGCATGCTTATGCTACGCTTCTCGTTGCACCCACAGCCTGCACCCACAGCCTTGCCAACACGGCCTCACTCTTTCGCTCTCCGGTGCTCTCCCATGGCATTGCCGACTTGGCCGGTCAGCTTAGATCCGAAACATAGCTCTTCACGCGTGGCACCTGGGGCTTCTAGACACGTAGCCCCCTGGCCACTGACG